AACTTCAAAATCAAGTGTTATTTGACATTCAATCCTCCCTGAAATGAATATAGTCTTCAACCAATACACTAACATTAGGATAGTACTGGATTCTAGGTCGATTTCCCTTGAGCTAAATGTTCTAAACCTTGAAATACAACTGTGCGTTGAATGGTTGACAAAGGATATTGAGGTACAATTTGGGTTGATCATGTGTTACCACGGAGTCCCTATTGCTTGAACATCCAAATAGTGGTCACATCATGTATCCCGTTTATGATTACAGTATGTTCATCATCAAACTTGTGCTTAAAAGATTCTTAAGAAGCAAGACAGTCCAGTGAGCAAGTTAGTGAAGGCCTTGATAAACACTGTCGTGACTTCAGTGTCAGATCACATGAGTCAATGTCGTTTACGTTCAGAGTAGCAGATCGTCTGAGCATTTTCCCACGTATGATTTTGAACTACAAAATACAATACTTCTGATTTTGTACACAAAATTATTTCTGATTTATATAATGACCTATTCATGTCTAATAAAGTAAAAATTAAACAGTTTTACGTATTCCTAATTGTCAAATCGATTTCTACTTTCTCTGGATATCATAGTTAAGCAGGTGAATTATACCTAGTGTCCTACACTAGGCCAGATCCATGTCTTAGTACTGGGAAACTGCATGACACTGATGATCTAGAAAGATTTTAGATGAGAATTCTGAATCAAATCATCAGATTATTCAAGCAAAATTCAGATATTGTAAATAAATAATACATGGGGCCATTTACCAAGTGCAATATCAGTGATTCTTTAAGTAATAATAGAGCGAAATAGTCAGAAAGCGAAACTAATAATTATGCTTTTCAGTAATTAACCACATTAGCCACGCAAAGACAAACCAATGAAAAACTCGATCTATGAAGGTGTAACAGTTAGTTCATTATGGTACTTAAATCAACATATGTATTCCATTCAGCCACACAACTGATGCATGTATGAAGACAACATTATAAAATCTGTCCCCTATTTTCGTGTTGATTGTGTTGAGTAAAGAAATGAATTGTGTCACTCACAAATTATGATTAATTCAAGCCCCTTTATCATTAACGAAATACCTGGAACGTTTCTGAAACGGCGAGAAGCGACCACATCATAATCAATAGCTCTATACCAGCTCGTGACGAAGATATTGAAGATTGAATATGAAACCCATTTTTGAATAAACAGAGAACAACCATTGTTTAGAATAGCAATTATGTGGTAGATGATAAGATATCAACAAGCAAGCAAACATAAGTCATTGGCCAAAACCATATGAGATATTTACCTGAAAGGCAAGAGAAACTAGTCGTTCAAACTAAATTTGAGAAGATTGAGGTTTTTATCTGAAATAGCTTTGTCGTATTCCAATCTACGTGAGTCAGATATCTTAGCCATTGGCAATAAATAGCAAGCCTAATTGAAATTTTCTATTATGAATTCCTACTCAGCAAAACTAACCGTTGGAGAAAACAACCGTAGATTTTAAAAATCTATTATTATTTTTAGGTGGAAATGGATAGTGATTGGTAGTTGAATCCAGGACGTTTGTTTAGTCCTATTCAGGACCATTCAACTAGATTAACTGCTAGTAACTGTCTGTCTATGGTTAAAAGTATTTGTAACTTAGTGGAAATATTCAAGCGACCCGTAAAACATCCACATATTCCAAAACACACCAATTAGTTGTTGTCTTCAACGTCAATAGGAAGATTCAAATAATCATCACATATAGATGTTGTTATTGTAATTTACTGAACGGGTACGAAATTGAAGTTATAATCTCGACATGAATGACTGTACCATAGTTGAGCGTCACTCAGATTACTTTGTGAAAAAGATCATTTAAATAGAATAATCTGTTATATTTCGCAGTTTTGAACTCAGTATTATTCATTGTCACGTTCAGTGATGATTTAAATATACAACATGCTGTACTGTCACGATTTCTCTTTTGACACTTTTTCTAACTTCTAGCTGCATGACTAGAAATGATCTTTCTAATTTTATCTCGTCAAATGTGCAAAACATTTTTATGGTGTTTTCATAGTCGAAAAAACGAGTGTCACCTTCAGAACATTTACAACTGCACCAGGAAAATGAAATCATATTGATACTAATACTGCTGTAGAATTCATTCAGTAATGCATGGACACTGTAATTTCATCATTTAGTTTACCAAGGTCTTATTTTCGTTTCAGAGAGTTTACAGTTTGACCGACGACTAGGTTGTTATTCCTCTGATTGTTGGTTAATGTCTGGAATATTGTTTGCTATTGTTCTTGTACTCACTGAAAATATAAACCTTTAGCCACTATTGTAAACAAGATCAAGTGGTTTCGAAAAATAATTACTAGAATTTTCCACTTACCTCGAAAAATTCAGTTTTCCAAGCAGATAATGTAATACATCTTCTGAAATGTTTTACGATAACTATACGTTACATAACTACAGTGTCACTGTCGAATATCTTTATACGAATGAGAGAAAAATGTTCTTCAATAAACCAATATCAGTATCCGACGTATCTCTGAGTAAACACTTGCATAAAATTTGAACTATATTTAAAAACGGTGATAGTGTTTTGGACTACCCACAAACTTTCTTAACACATCATTATGTCTATTAGTCTCATAACATATTCAGGTGTGTTTGTGAGAAGTATACGACATTTCTCTGTACAAGTTACAAAAGAGCCCAACCAGAGACATCGTGGTTGCTGGCAATATGGATCGAAAAGAATATACATTAAACTAATGTCGACTTCTGAACTGATAACATCTAACTGGTGACCACTCAATGTGTTATCGTCAGGACTGACCAAAAAATAAGAAAAGGAAATTCGTTGAAATACTTTGTGCTTGGAAATCTACATTGTATCAAAAATATAATATTTAATTAAGCTGAAACGATACAATTAAACTTAATCATGGACTGAAGAAGGTTAGTTTTTAAAGCTGGTCATCTTCAAGTAGGAGACGCTCCGAACATTTACTATGTTAGCGTTTCGAAGATTTGTGTAACTCTACACTATTCTTTTCCTACTAAAGTCTGTATAATTTTGAAGTGGAATGATTAGTCATATACTTGTTTATCACTGTTGCTTAATGGCAGTATTTAGAAATCGAGGACCGTGTGTAACTTTATTTTCTTATTTGCTAAACAACTTCATCGATAACTATTTATAACTAAGTACTGATTACAATTACAGATCAAGAATCGTCCAAGTATTTAACATTATCACTACCATGAACAAAAGTTCCAAATATCTTCTTCAGCTCATATAGTGCGGCAATAGAGTATCGGTTAGAGGACTTATGATAATCCATAGAGATGACAATATAAAAATCCACCATAATAATGACATCCATATTTGTTCAATGATTTCAACATCTACTTGATTACGCTTAAGATTATCAAGTGTACATCTTGTTTCGAATAGTTTCACACAAGCAAACATCCGGTATAAATAGATGTACAATACCAAAACAACGTGAGTCTAGTTATATGGTGTTTTTCATACTATTATCCTCATTTTATTACAACTTATAGTAAAGAATTCATCAATAGGCAAAGTTTTTAATTCAAAATTATTCCTTAAACATTATGAATTAACCAAACAGTACAATATTCATTATGCGGAGATTATCTGTTTCCCTTTTTTTCAATGAGAGCGTGGTGTGTACTACTGATGTCAATAGATATAAGTAGCATGTATCATCAATCGAAAGTAAAATGCCTAGTGGCACAAGATCGAAGAAAAGAGAACGAGGTCAGAGAATGATTGGTGTGGAAACGAAGGGAGAATGAAGTCTGGGACAGTTGATTGAAAGTTTGCAAATGAAGTATTTACTGTATAATTTTCAGATTTTACTGAGATGTTCTGTAATTTTGTATTCAAATACGTTCGATTATCCCCACTTGTGTTCTCGTTCACTACAAAAGTACTTGGTATACTAGCATGTATGAAAACGATTAGGAGTGCCAAATAATTGGAAACTCTAAACTCACTAATATAAAATGTCTACTTATTTTGCTAATTATCAGCTTTATGCTAATCGTTAGATTGAACCGCCCTTGTTCTTTTTTCTTTAATCATATCATAACGCATGCTTTGTTGTCGGAAGGGGTTTTTGTAGATGTCATAGTCATTTAATGTTTCAGTTCATGAGTCAGTTGAAGCTAGACCACCATATAAAACCTTGCAGCCATTCACTAGTAGACACAAGAGGTATTTCTTGGAGTTCTGGTGAGAATCACTAACCATTGGAGTCCAATCAGGTCTGTTGTTATGTAGTTACTCACTGAAGACAATGGTGGACGATGGCTCAATTTCACAGATTGGTCGATGTTAGATACTAACGCCGTTGGATGCCGGTTGGCAAAGTGGTCTAGAGGTTAAGCGTTCGCACACAAGATCGATAGTTCTTGGGCTCGAATCCCTTTGGTTTGAGACTGTGGATGCACACTGCTGTGGAGTCTCACACTAGTACGAAACTGCCGTCCAGTACTTTCAGGTTTTACATGGTGGACTAGTTTCAATTGACTCATGAACTCAACAATTTCTTTTATGTGACATTAAATAAAAAAATGTAGTTTGCTATTCATTCTCAAACTATATAAGGTAGTTGTGAATTTTTAAGATGACGAACCATAAAACTGTTACACAAACCATATAAATTTCAGAAACGTTTCTTTGTTAATTGACATTTTCCAAAAATGACTAATCATACGTATTTGTGATGGTTACTTTTCTCAAAATGTCTTCGTCAACTTTTGAGTCTTCTTAAGTTGATCACTAAAATCACTCATGTTAATCTGAGTAATCTAATTCATAATGAAGTTGTATCCGCTAATAAAACATGACAAATATGAGTAGATCAAGATTGAATGGAACATGTGATCTTGACTTAATGTAGATCATGTGGTCTTATTACTGAGATTATAAATACAAATGAATCCTTCAACAGAATATCCGGAGTTCGCCTAACTACACATAGATTTATTACCAATGTTCTTCGTTACATTGATTCTGATCATATCTGTTCAATCATTTGGTAAATCAATCCGCGAGTTTATTTTTGCTTTTGTCTTTTTAAAAAAAACTACGATAATTTGCATTTAATGCCATTTACTGGTGTTGATGATTATGTTATCTATCAAAGTTTCTAGTGCATTAGGCATGTTACACATAGATATTTAGTCCCTATTTAAAGTCTAAACCACATCAGTTAATAAATTACATTAATGTGTGCGGTGAAACTATAACTTATGGATGACATTTGAGAGAAGCCAGACTAACCTTGAAAGTGTTCACCTAGTAACTAGGACCAAATGAGTGTTATAAACCAGTGTGAGGAATTCGAATTATGATTTACAGTTCATGGTTAAGGTTAGGAATTATATTCAGGGTTTTCATCACGAACTGACATTAGTTATAACGTCAAAACTCTATTTAGCCAACTGGATACATGAATTTCGCACCAAAATCAGAGATCTGTTATCTTATACCTTGGTTGGTTCGTCCATAAATTATAGTCTCGCCATGTGTGGAAAATTTTATTCAGTGACATTTCGACTAATTGTCTATTCTTTTGTATCATAATAATAGTTAATCTCATGTTGGTAATTGAACTGTTTTTTAGACTGTGAATTGACACCACGTAAGTTATTTGGTTTTAGATTAGTTGTTTTACTTTATTTATGTAAATAAGGACAGTTAAATACGAGGAATGATAATGAGAATATGTATCGGTAATCATAACGACTGGATATTTTAGGGATATTTTCCTGGTAATTAACAAGTGTATATACTTTCCATTTATACACTATGTACTTATAAATAGTAATAATATAATTTTGAATGAAGAAGTCGTAATTCACAGCAAACAATATTTTTTAAAGCGAATATGGATAGTAGCTAGCAGTGGAATCCAGGACACGCGTTTCGTCCTACTTCGGACTCGTCAGTTGGACGTACCTATATCTCAGATTTGATGTTCATTTAGAGACTGGAACCCAGCACAATCGCATTATCTACTTAGCTTCTGAGTTCTGGAAGCCACTTGCTCGCGCAATGGGGTGAAGTTTTAAATTCACTTGGTATTTACTTGAATCTTCTCATTGATGTTTAGGACTGCAATTGATCAGTCTCTTATTGTTATATGTGTATAATGTGTGTATTGCCTCGATATTGTCTTAATTCATAACCATTATAAGCAATGATAGATAGTGGCCAATAATGGAATCCAGGATTTAGTGATTGTCATACAGTTACAACATTAAAGTGTCTGCAAAACATATCTTTGTATTGAAAATTTGCAATGGGTTTGTTTGTTTCTCAAAATGATTTATTATTAAGTGACAGTTGTCATAATGAAATGACGATATTATCATGAAACGCTATAAGTGTGATTCATTTTCATTGTGAAAATGAATTTCATAATACATTTGATTACCTGTTAGAGTAATTGTTATCCCTCATGCTATCAAGTCATCATAATTGAGTATAGTAACTATTTCTCTTTCATAAAAGCAGATATTCAATAACATATCTCACTTAACCCTAACGCTGTAACTTGTTTCGATTGAATACATAGCTACAGACAAATAGTAGGTGATAAGTTCACATAGTATAAAGACGTTAATGTGTAAGGAGAACACTTATTATATTTAATAATTGAATTCACACGGAAAGACACAATGACCAGTTATACTTTATACTAGTTGGCACAACTGACATAGTTTCCTAGTTTAACCTATTCTTTAAAACATTGTTGTAGAAAACTAAATGTTTTCAAAGGTATATTGTAGAAGAGATGAAGAATATTCATTTCGAATAATGGAATTAGAGATCCAATATCCCACCGAAATGTGAAAAACTATGAACTCTGAGTTGAAATATTATTAGTCTTTTAAGTCAACAGCTTAACTTATGAATATAATCCTTAACTAATGATTGATACGTTTTACTATTGAAACAACACTCATGTTTTTTTGGGATTTAGATCAAATTAGTAAGTTACTAAAACGTTTCGTCTAACGATTTCTATACATACATCTTCGGGTAAATCATTACTAACAACGTTCCGCATGTGTTCTGTCGACGTAATCGATCACTTGTGAATACAATTAACTTTGTTTTATTGAATTATGGTGTGATTTTCTGTTGCTTGATCAGATAACATTGAGCAAATCTTTTTCTGCAAATGTTCATTAAATGATGCTGTAAAGATGACATTACATTGTGTTTTCTTCGACATTCGTATCGATGTATACAGGATTTAATAAGAAATGTTCAAGAACAATACGAAACACTTCAGATTATATGATTTCTAGATTAATGGTTTGCACGTAAGAATGCACGATCTTTGATTGATGTAATCATTAGGTGTCTGAGTTGAATAGTATTAGATGCAGTAAAGACAACATCAACTACAAATTACACTAAGTCACCATACTAAACCAGTATGGAATTTGAAGTGGAACTTCGATAATGAACGGAATAATCACTTGAATCTGAATGACAATTTAAACAATGGACAGATTGTAAAACGTTCCAAAAAAAGCTGAATGGACTTTAAATGAAATACTATTCTCGTAACTTTTTATTAACAGAACAAGAATGTAAGTCCCTTTATAATAAATTAGTTTTGCTATTTCAACTATAGACTTTTACAGGTCAAGTAATTTTTGATGGGATCCTATTGTAAACCGATTTTCAAATTTAGGTGAAAAACATTGTGAGGGAAAGAGTAAGTAAAATAAACCATTATTTTTTATGTTGCGAGTTACATTGGTCTGGTTATGCTTCACTTGACTTCCAATCTCACTGTACATCAGCGGTGATAGTAGTGTTATTTATTATTATTCAATTAAGTAATGTTTGACAAATTGGATAAATTGAAAATAGCTCTATGATTTTGGTTGTGCGTTCTAGCGCGTAGGGTCATGGATTTACACTGTTGAGAAGTCTCATCCAAAGACGAAACGGCTTTCCAGTGCATCCAGATTTTCACTAGTAGTATGAGTTAGAACAGTTCATCATTTCAAATGAAATAATAAAGATATTCGCAAACTATCATGCAAGAATGCATTGAAAATTCGAACACCTGAAATGTTCATAACATTTCTGAAATTGAATGTTATGATTTTCATCAGTTGCTAAGTCTAGCCTTATGACGTTATCGAAGCAATCTATTTGACGAGGAGACCTGGATAAGAATGTTTGCTTGATGTTACTGAACATTTGAATCAACTGACGAATGTTAGTAGAACTACACAGCAATTTAATGATTAATGGATACCTCCAAGTAATTTAAATTATGTAATAGGTTTCATTTCTACAGTTTTGCTATTGCTTATTCAAGTACATTGTCTTCATTATACATCACATCTTAAAAGGATAGCTTATAGTCTCCAGAAGCTATCTCAACAACCTATGTTCGAGGTTTTACTCAGAATGCACATCAGTGATGCTTAAATAACTATGATTACTAATAAAGCTGCCTATGGATTCTTGCTATTACAGATGAATATGCTACTCGATACTGTAAGTATATTTGAAGATTTGATGAAAATTTTTGAATAAGACTTCTATTTTGTGTAATATGCTCATCACTCAACACCTTATTTTGTCTTTGAAGTGTGAAACAGTTATGAAATATCCGAACGAGAGTAGTAGTAGGGTAATCTCAATGATTTAATTTGACTTATGAAAATTTATTGCAAACTGACCTTAGTTTGTAGATAGCTAATGTGTTTTGATCAACTGTGAATGAATCAAATCATTGAACAGTACACATGCGTTAAGACGACATGATCCAAATTAACAACAATGGGTTTGTAACCCATAAGCAAACACTTGAGTCACCCAAATAAGTCATGTTTTTCTTCGTCAGTGAATAATTTCATTCATAAATTTGAAGCTTTAATATTAGATTGTTCAAATGGTTTCACTTGTGATATGCTGTTTTACAAATAGACGAAAAACAAATATCTGTAATCAGTAGTTAATTACACATCCTCATTGATCGAAAAATCGTTTTTGATGTATAAACTTATCGTTAAGGTGGTGGTCTGTGTTCTGGCAGTAAGTTATTGTTATTCAACCGTTTTACTTTGTACTAAACGTTATCATAAAACCATTGTCACTGGCTATAATAATAACATTTTTCTTCGACAGCCTTCTGTGAACTGACTCACCTTCAGCAATTTATTGACTAACATTCATTATTTACACGACATGGATAATGCGATGACTTTTTCAATTGGCAAACCAAACAGTCTATATTTGAATAAAACAACTCTGGATTATTTACTTACTGTCCCTGAGTGCACAATGAAATACCTATAGAATGTGGTTGTATGATACGCAGTTACACACTGGTAAGCAATAATACCCGGAATCTTTCAAATTATTCATTCACTACAAATATGAGAATAGTGAGTCGTTTGATAAAAAAATGTGGAAACATCTAGAACAATTTATCCTTACCCTTTTTATAAGAACAGCATACTTTGAGATAAGTAATAAGCACAATAGCTACATGAAATGACTAACTGAAAAGTCATAACTTCAAAACGATCTGAGTAGTTTAGGTGATTAATCAGCAACATCGTGAATGTAATTGTACAGTCTTTTATCCAGTTCGATTGTACAATATGTCTTTGTCTTCTGACACGATAGTATGATAAGGTAATCGACTGGTTTTATCGAATCACAATACAGATAAATTCTCTTCTTCTTTTCAAATTGGATCCCTTGTGTCTGTTCAAGCTAACCTTACTGTAAATTTAGAATAATAAGATATGAAAATCCGATTGTTATCTTTGTAATGTGGTAGGTATAGACGACTTTAGTTAAACACTAATCACGTTTGCGTGTCAAACTGATCACTCTACGAATCACGTTCGTATCATCTATACATTCTTCTTGGCCGAGACGAGTTTATTAAAGCAACGTGCATTTGAAATATTCATTGTCAAACGACTGTTCCAAAGGGATCTTCTAGCTTTGAGAATAGTTGTACAAATGTCTTCAAGTTTGCGAATGTATAAAATGATTTGATGCACATAATAAAATAAGTGACTATCAATTTACTTTAATGTCTAGCCACAGGAGCTCAAACATTTTACTGTAAGTATGATATATCTTTTCGTTGTTAAATATGTTTCAAATGAGAGCTTCAAGAGATCACTAGGTATTTGACTGATATTCACAAATGGGTGAATGCACTTAGGAACCGTAGTGTTTCATCTACTTAAATGTTTTTATTGTCATCTATTTAAAATGAAAATAAAAATATAGTGGAATTTTGGTGAAACGCCGATCTTGAGCAACCTTTCAATCAATCACGAAAGAACGGTCAGTTATTTTCGAAAAACAAATAAATAAGTATACAGTGGATATAGGTTTTGAAAATGATCGTCGAACATTTCAAAACTGGAGATGAGTTTCATTCATGAAGTAAATTAATTAGATAGCTACTACTAAAATCTTTGATTTAGATTCGAAATACCCATTTCATTACTAAAAATATGTGCTCCATAGAGAATATATGTAGGTCGATTCGGGAAATAAAGCAAATCGACAACTCAGAAGCCAACTATAACCATGTAAACATTTATTTATTTGAAAGTAATAATTACTATGATGATCAATTCTACTGTTAAATAATTCGTATTTTGTGAAAGTATTTCAAGTGTGTTTTTCATCAGCCATAACCCATCCAAGGGAAATTTCAATTGACATTGACACTTTATTCTGAACTATTCAAATAATCAACCAATCAAATTACAAGAAGTTGTATAATCACTGAACTGATTTATTTAATTTAGTCTGTGTTTACGGTAAACCAAATATTACTGTTACTAAAACGGATTAGATATCAAGATGTATTCTTTTAATTGTGTAATTCTGAGACACGATTTGCGTAGTTCATATTATTTGTATACAAAAGACTGATGTTTGGAACATTATTTTTGTAGGTTATCTCGCATGCAGTCATAACGGTATGTCTTCTTACTATATAATCGTTAAATTTGTTAAACTTATGAATGAATATACAGTGAATATATCATATTACAATTAACTGGTCAAATATTTAGAATAAACGCGTTGTGGCTGATTATGAAGTCAAGGTGCGAGTAGAATCATATTTTTGGACTGATTAAGTGGTTGATCGTACATCTCAGTCTTGATGTTTACATAAAGATTATTGTCTAGTGTTTTCAGATCCACACATTGAAAACGATTTCCATCTAGTAACTTTATGGATAAATTGAGTATATGAAGCACATATTCCAACGATGACTAACCAGAACACATTCTAACATATTAACAACTTAACAATTCAATCCCTTACCAATGGTCACATATGATTAATGATGTTAAATGACTGATTCATTTGCACAAAAAATGTGGAACTGAAAAATTTAGTTCTACAAATAACCGCAGTACACTTTTCAACCATGGAATTGGAGTTTGTTTTTACCTTTAATAATGAATGATCCCAATCTAACAAACCGTACGCAACATATCTTAGTATTTAATAGATTTAAATAGTTTGATATTTGATAGCTCATAGGCTTGCTAAACTAAACTAACCATCACAGAATGATCATATAGTGGTAATCCCTGGTTTCGGAAAAGGAATAAAATACTGAATAAATCTTCAATGTATTGTGCAACTAACCTCAAAATAGGCAATCTCCTTTTGCCTGAAATAAAAACGTTGGTGATAGATATTCGCCTTAATATCTTTGATGGAGCAAAGAACTTACAATTTTAATTAATAGCTGTAAAACATACATATTCGTCTACACAAAGTATTTGATCAGGTCATTTTTTTAAAGATTTGTTTCGTCTTAAAATTGTTTCAAACAAAAGATTAATGAAAGCCAATTATCGATCGAAATTTCGAGGGAATTCAATAACAACTTTTGAGCAACGCTAAACTGACCTTCAGAGTGTCCACCTGATAACTAGGACCAAATGAGTGTTATAAACCAGTGTAAGGAATTCGAATTATGATTTACAGTTGATGCTTAAGGTTAGGAGTTAGATTCACGGTTTTCATCACAAACTGACATCAGTTATAATGTCAAAACTCTATTTATTCAAATGGGTGACTGAATTTCGCGCCAAAATCAGAGACCTGTTATCTCATACCTTGATTGATTCGTCCATAAATTATAGTCTCGCCGAAATTCTTTAGCACACAGACTGAGTACGGCACTGCTTACTATAGAATGTAGGACATATATGTCCTGACAAAGCATGTTACCATCTGATTATCTGATCAGAATCCTATCGATAACGTTGACTGAAATGGAGTTGTTTTCATTGAGACGTTATCATCATCGCACCATGTTGGTTCATGAAACTAAAGAGCTATTCAGTATCTCATGGTTTCAATCGGCTTCCCCGATTTATATTTATTGACTTTTATTGGTAATAAATACCACAAGAAATCAAAAGCATATGAATTGTGCTCATTTTTGGAAGTTCTCGAATAAACCTGATATATATTTATTTGTACACTTAAGCTACGTTCAAATTCAATGAGATTGCTTATTTAATTTTTCAAATTACATTCATCAGTTCCAGGTGATGTTGCTTGTTGAACTGATAAACACTAAGATGACTTCAATGTGGTATTTAAAAGTCGATCGGTTGTTTTACTATTTCAGCCTCTACGCAAGGAGATTTCGACGAATGTAAGTTCCGAAACTGATATACCCAGCTTCTGAAGTTATTTATCATGTTGATTAATGAACAAAGAATTTATCCGCATTCTCATTTCGTTTACGTAAGAAAGTTGTTTCATCTTAACGTGATTCCTTTCTAGCAAACTTTGATTGATATGAACGTTGACAAATTCAAACTTCCAAAGTCATAACTTACATCATTAACAATACCGTTCTGCCTGGTAAACAGTGAATAACGTTTAACATATTTAGTTAGATAACAATGAAATATTTGTGTAAGATATGAAACCCATCATTTCAGTCTCTATTAGCTGGTTAAATAGAAATTTAAGATATTTGTTGTTGTCAGTTTACAAGACTGCACCAGAATGCTCATTGCATGAACCAACAATCCAACATCTAAGATTAAATCATACACACTTGATTCAATCAATCGGATCTGATGTAAATTGTGATTCATTTAGCGGGTTAGTTGAATAGTCATTGGACAACTGAAATTACATCTAAACTATTTATTATTATTTTGCAGGTATAAAAAAGTGTAATGGTAAGTGAGAAGAAATCAATAATGTCAGTTCCATGAAGTTTCGATGTACAAATTCCATTTAGTTTTATTTTATTATAAATATGAAATTTGCCTTTATTGTAGATGGTAGTGGTCTTGGTGAGGGATCATGTAAGTACATAAATTGATAATTTTGCTATACGTGAACAATAATCTGTAAAACTTGCCTTGAAAGTAAATCAGTAAATTGTGACTTAAACGGGTATACGGTGTTCTCATCCAAACAACCTACAAATCATATTTGATCCAACTTTCTGATACGTTTCGCGATACGAAACACATCAGTTTGTATTAAAAGGAACAGTTTTTAAACTGATAATCGTCATACAGTCCCTACAAAGAAGTCATCTTATATTCACATAATATTTGTTAGTTTGTTCCAGGAAACAATAATAAAGCACTTCATAAACGCAGGCATTGAAAGGATGTTTTACAAATGCAATGAAGAAACCTCAACAAAATATCCAATAGTTTAACAAATGAGTCGACAGCGAACATCCAAATTGTCGAGGCATCAATGTGATGCAAATGTTTCCGGGATTCTCCTAAATACTCCTTCATGCATCTAAATATGAAAATTTGCAGTGTGGTATTCCATGTCGATAACCTAGAATCAACTAATTCTTACTAGTTTATTTGATATTGTTGCTTATTTGAACTTTGTTTTACATGCCACTGGAACGAGCTTCTTGGTTTTCACATTCATCCAGAAATGTTTTTCTGGTCCAAAAATGATAACTAAGAGGCAGTGATTAGTTAGCTAAATACTAGGTGCTCTCCTCACATTGAATTTTTCGATTATATCAAACCTTCCACAACAAAATGTTAATAAAACTGATGGCTGATGTAAATAAGATCATGCCTAAGTTATTCGAAACGACGCCCCAAAAAGGTATGTTGAATAACTGTTTCAGATTCCAAGTGATAGAACAAACCAAACTTCGTTATGGCAGTGATCGGAATCGTGTAATAAGGAAATTATTTCCTTTTATAGTAGTGATATTTTCCGATTTTCATTCACTTCCGGTTCTACACGCGTGTCTTGGATAAGTAGATATGGTTACTTAATGCGACCTCATGTTTTTTATACTAACGATATTATTGAATGTATCTGTCACGATAGGACGAGTCAGTATTGGCAATGATAGATAGTCATATCATGGCAAGTTCACAATATTGATTTAACTATTACTCTAGTAGCACAGATAAGTGCAGATATACCGACCTACACCCAAATCCTACATAGAAATTTCTTCAGTGAAAATCAGAGTTTTACATTTGTTTTTCTATCTACCTAACACTCTTTAAGGTATGAGTGACTGTGGAGCTGTCAGTAAGTTGCTTAAATTTGTACCGAATATCCTTATACATGGATTAATACATAGTCCATTTTATACAACATATTTGTGCTATTATTATTTTCAATGTTGTTCATAAAAGAAGCGGTTACGCTGGTTAACAGAAACTCTTTCAAATCCAACTGTTCAACAAATTAGCCGATTTAGTATTATTTGTATTTTATGTATCACAATAGTTTTTTATGATGAGATGATCATATTTCATCTGTAAGATCGTTTAATCCTAGGCTAATACTGTTACAGGATTCAATGAAAAACAGGAAATATTTGTGAATCTGTTTCATGTAATTAGGTTACCATCTGTACGAGACCATAAATTAGATCAAACCAGCTAAATTTACTTAAAATAACGAGCGTTGTCCGCTGAATCTAAAGAATACGAGATTCTGTAGTACATGTGTCCAACTTCTCTTGCAATGGTTATCTTGCTAGTCACTGACGAAACCTCAGGTTCGTGTTATCAGTATATGTGCACGGCATTAAAATCAATGGCGTATAGCTAACACCAGTTGGAACAAGGTTGAACAACCCTTAGTCTGATCCCTATCCAATTATTTTTCAAGGACGTTCAAATGCCGGAGAGGATATCACAGTGTGAACCGATGAACCGTGTCCCTGTTTATCGTGGTAATTTTTAAGACCTAACCCTTATTCAGTTCTCCCATAATACTATCATGAGCGAAATGTTCTCGTTGTCAGTGCCTTTTCTCTGGGTGTTCAATACGACAGACACTGCCATCTGTATGCTATGGTCAAACATATCAAGCCTGATTTTCATCAGCAGGTGATTTAATACATTGTCAGTATTACTGACCGACTTCATTGAATTTGTGTGATGACTTGGAGACAGTGGCCTAGTGTACGTGTTTAGAGCTCTGGATACGGTCTGTTTATTACTGACTTCGGTGTGATTGAGAGATAGCTCGTTTTTGTTACATTTGTGGGTGACATGTTTGAACGGTAACGAGAAAGCAGTTTGTGATGTTGTTAACCACAATCCTTCCAACCCATCCTGAAGTACGGTCCGAGGTGTTTAGAATATGCATGTGTAAAGTAAGCAATTTTTTGACAGAAAGGCTTATGATATTCTTACGATCTATCTCAATCCAAAAGATGAATAGAATTTTATCATTAGAATGATGTTGTTTGTAAATTATGTTCCAAGGAATGCAGCTAAGTTGACAATGTTGTGATATGATCTCACGAAAGTTAGAATAAACTATCCTGTAACGATTGTCCTACAGAAGATAGAAGAAGGTTCAAAAGTAGTGTTTAATGTTTGAAGACATATAGACAAAAAAAATAATCCATTAATCTTATTTCATTTCCAGCCAACCACGAGGAAGTTTGTAAGTTACACGTCATTCTTAAACTGTTGAATGATGGATATAAAATTAATATGAAATTTTCAGATAGAACATAAATTTTTCAATAACATGATCTAACACTGACTGACCGGTTACGAACGAAGATCATATACAGATCAGTGAAATTATATTATAAATGTTCAGGCCTATCGATAAAAGACATCAAGTTTACTAACCAAAAGAAAAATGAATGACTGTGACCAGCTTCAAGATAGTTTTAATTCATACATCATTTAAATTTACACAATGTGTGAACACCCGAAGGTAGACACTTAGAGATAACTACAAAAGTATCCGATAAATCGCATCGGTAAGTACAATTGAATGTTTTCTTATGCATACTAAAAACGATGTCATCATGATTGGGTGCAGTGAACTATATTGTCAAAGGAAATGAATATCCTAGTAGATTTTGTTTGATTTTTAATTGTGAAGTTGATGGTTGTTTGTATTAGTTCAAGGATCTCACCTTGGAATGGTCATTTTCAATTCACTTTGAACTTGTAAACTAGTACAAGATTAATAATTATGCTAATAATAATGCTTTCAAGAATAACTATTGTGTTATGCAAGTGGTCCTTATAGAGTATGTTAATATGTAACAGTAATGATTAGGTTCACATCATGCACGTTTACATAATCATCCACCTTAAATAATGTAAACAATCATTTCAGGTGAAACCGCTTGCGGTGGAAGTAAGTTCACAAGTACTGAAAATATATATGAGTTAAAAGCTGTGAATATAAAATATCGAACGGAAGATTTGAAGATGTTTCACGGGAGAAAAATTGTTGATGAACTTGAGAAGAGTGATGGATTTACATATATGAGAATGTTTTATAGCCAATTCACTACGTTGTTTACATTACTGAATACGTCTAACACAGAAGTGATGTTTTTGAATGTGATTTAATATGCAACCTTGACAATGTGATCTAAAAAGGGACATGAACAGAATCTTATCGTTAATTATGTAGACGATACTAGATGCAAACGTATTATCTGAGTGATTAAATCAAAGTGACTGAAATGATGTTTCATTTAAGTATTTGTTTTGTTTATTCATTGTTCTTGGAAAAATGATTTGAGAAGTTTCAGAAAACTGATATCCGCATTCAAACATCAGGCGGTATTCATTATTGCTGTAAATGAGATTTAGACTTTTCAGATATCACAGTCGAATTCTTAAGGCCACATCACTGGATTCCGTTTTGTTCAATTTACAAACATATTCTTAAGGTAATTTTTATATTCAACTTTCAACATTTCACAGATAATGGAGGCCTATTTCCACTGTGTAAGTCATTTTTGATGGTAATTTTGATACAAAATAAGTGCGTGTAAAATGTCTTAACTGTTTAGTTCTGTACTGTTCAAATATAATAGCTCAATATGAACAGAATCTAAACGTTAATCAACTCAAAACCAATGGATCGACAATCTCCAAACGCATTCTGTAACAGTTGAACCACGGAACCAGATATGTCAATGGTTAGTCTCAAATAGATTGATTGAGCAATAAAACGGTGCATTTGAGCAGTACACTTAGAAAACTTCGGCTACACATGACAAATTGTCTCTGTAAACTTGAAATGGGGATGAACTATCTAATAACCAAACCTAACTACTCCTTCCTCGCAGTTTCAAATAACATTTCAAAGGCTACACTAAAAATTAGTGTTTTGTCTCATTTCCATTGTAGCTTGCCATTGACTGACATGATTTTCTTCTTCCTATGTTTATCGAATCACTTAAAACAAGTTAATTTTGATGCCAATTAGTCGCTTTTTGATCACTTAACCGTATGTATATGTATCATAACAGAAACTCGTGAAATGGTTCGTGCAGTGGACCTCAATATAATCCTTCACAGTGTTTATATCTTTGTATAAAGATGGGCTTAATGTATTAGATAATAACAGATTGGGAAGCTCATTATATTAAAACAGAGACAAAGCACATATACTGATTATTAAAATTTGCTTGACAATATTTCTTTATTAATCACAGTAAAACGACTTGAGCGACAAAACTCCATTTCAAATAGGTTTCTTTCAGAGTTCAGCAGTGATAAATAACCAGACAGTTTGAATAATAATGGGTGAGACTATGGTTTATGGATGATCCTTGAGCAACGCTAAACTGACCTTCAGAGTGTCCACCTGATAACTAGGACCAAATGAGTGTTATAAACCAGTGTGGGGAATTCGAATTATGATTTACAGTTCATGGTTAAGGTTAAGAATTATATTCAGGGTTTTCATCACGAACTGACATCAGTTACAGTGTCAAAACTATTTAGCCAAAGTCATAGACCTGTTATCTTATACCTTGATTGGTTCATCCATAAATTATAGTCTCGCCTAATAATGCTTTTCTTCAGACTTCTCCAGTTATATTGTCAGTAATTAAATGAAAATGATTTACATTTAGGTTTATATAATTGCGATCAAGCACGTAAGTGATACAATTGAATTTAGGCATTTATATTATTATGCTATAGAATGATTATGTATGACACTACCTAAGATTCATTCACCGATATCAATGATCGTAAGCTCAACAAGAAAATTCAAATAGTTCTGTTTGTTGATCTGATCAACTACATAGTTGAACTCAACAATGTCTCTGAATCACAGTTTTACATTTCTGATATACATATAAAACTTAATTAGAGAATTTCATTCTTATAAAACCGATTCCGGCAACTATTTGTAACTGTGTTAAGTTTAGGCGGTGAAAGAATCTATTTATTGTAATATATGATTAATTGAAATTATTTGATTTGGACTAAGTTAGTCCTTGAATTGTATCATATAAGATGCACATTTCTGCAAAAGGGAAAAGATATGTAAATACTGTTGCTGACAGATATCCAACTCTTCATTATCTTGTTTACTTTTAAAAATACAGATCCAAATGGATATGAAGGGGGTAAGGTGCCTTCTATTTATTACCAAAGTTTTCATTAATGAATTTACTTTTGGCCATTTATTAGTCTTCTGGTATTTTTCTTGATGTTACGTAATGTAGAAATGATTGCCTCTCTATTTACTGGATCATTGTACTTCAATGACAGTCAGCTTGAAATACTGTATTTTTGACTGTTATTACTATATTCGCCGAGTCAACTATTTACAAGGGATAAAGATCAAGTTTACCACTTTCGAAGAATATTTATTTCGATTGGGAAATTTGATTACTTACCTTCTAAGCAAATCAATAACTAATTGCTCGTCATCGGAATGAATTGAAGTAGTTGATCCTCTTCTTTTGATGAGGGTTGACTGCATAGAATAGGTTAAACTATTGAGGTGTTCTACATTTGTGCGTTTTATACGTACTTTAGTTTCTACCAGTATAACTTGTTTATCGCGTTGCTATGTTCCTATTCATTTGATAAGAGTGTGATTATTGAGTCTACTTCCATACAGACAATAAATCCAGGGTAATAAAGATTCTAAACGTTACTCTCAATGTTGAATGAAGATTGATCGGATGGAATAGAACTTTCACGCTTATTTCGCTGAATAGTTAGTCGTCTCGATGCAAATATATCCTCCAATATTCAACCTACCTTCTATATAAGATTTAAGATGGTTTGTTGAGAAATACATTTATTTCTGTGTAGCTTAAAACTATACAAGCCTAGCAATGCTTAGTGCTACTGAAAAAGCACAAAATATGAGATCTTAGTTCTAGAATGCTTTTTGATACTCGTTATATCATAATTTTTCAGCCCGTAAGCATAGTGATAATTATATATTGATCATTATTTCTTTAAACAACATGATTTGAAAGGCTTTGACGACTGTAAGTGTAACGTTTCCTAATACACTATATTTATCAATAACACATTATTATGTAACGTTGTTTATTTCATTCAAATATGACAAACCAAAAACTTTTAGTTCATGAACACCTGAAAAGTGAAAGAAAATTAGTGCTTCTTATTACAGATTATTCAAAATTCAATGTTTTGTAACACTAGCTTTTTATAGAAAATAAGCCAAGTTGTTCAGATGTTTTTCGAAGATATGGCTCAACAATTAAATGACATCAGAAAGGGGTTTTTGTGGATATTATAGTAATCTAATAGTTGAGATCATGAGCCAATTGAAGCTAGACCACTTTGGAAAAGCTGAAAGCACTGGACAGCCGTTTCGTTCTATTGTGGGACTTCTCAGCAATGCTCATCCACTGGCGGGATTCCAGCCCAGGACATGTATTCCAAACTGATGTAAATTGGTCAAGGATGGTCATGGATGTGCACTGCTGAGGAGTCCCACAATAGGACGAAACAGCCGTCCAATGCTTCCAGGTTTACCATGGTGGTCTAGCTTCAAATGACTCATGATCTCAACTATTAAATTAAATGAGAACTTTTGCACGTAAAGAAAGTGAAAAATGATTAGCACATTCAGTGCATAAGTTGTTCTTTGTAGACAACTTCACAGTAATTTACATTCTGAAACTGTTTATTTCAACGTGAATAACGTAGACCCGCACAACAAAACTTTTGAACGTACAAAATGATCCAGTTTAATTAGAGACATTTTTAGCCATGTTAATAAATTATCTCTCATATTTATGTATAATATTCTTTCATTGATATTTGATATCTCTTCATCTAATACCTCTTAAATGTGGGATTTCTAGAGATGAAATATTTTGGAGAGATTGTTCTGAGATGTTCTGATGTGTGGGCAAAGATGATAATGGTTAGCTGTTTGTTTAGTCAAACTTGTAGATAGTCTAACAGGTGTTAGATGAGTTATGTATACTCCTATCCTTATTATTACTGAGATTGTTGTCAGCTTTTTAGTGTGGAAATATATTTACCTTCTAGTCAGGCTAATCACTTGTTCTTGATGTGAGTTGTGTTGAAGTCCTGTAGAATAAACACTGGAAGAGAATCTGATGTAGATATTCGTCTCAAGCAAATTAACTTCCCATTCATAAAAATGAAGAATATTCAATCGCTATAAAATTTTCTCTTATAAATCTCCGGTTGTTGGTACTTCGTTATAAGAGTTCATTTATAGATGTAACTAGAAAAATGTTTTCTTTTCCAGGTAAAACAAAGTGTTACGGAATGAACGAACGGTGAATCCCTGTAACCGATTGCTCTTTGCTCTGTCAAGTTTCTTCAGTCGTACGTTAAATACGATGTTAGAATTCAACATTTCATTACGTTATTGTTTTATTATTTTGCTTATTTATTAACTGTAATTAAAGAATAATAACTAACCGAAATCAAATAAATTCAAAATATAATTTGCAAATCGTTTATATTTTCAACTTGACAATGCTTCTATCCTCAAAATGATACCTCAACAATCCTTCGAACATGACGTAGTGATCAGCGGCGTCAAATCCGTGTCGGGTATGAGACAGTTATCCATCTTAGACAATAGATGAAGGGTCATGCAAGATCACGTTAGATACTAACATCGTTGGATGCCGTCTCAGGAGTTTCGAGGTTAAGCGTTTGCATGCGAGATCGAAGGATCTGAGTTCGAGTTATGCGTGCTGGATCACGGATGCATACTGCTGAAAAGCCTCATACTACAGTGAACCATTTTTAGATACGACTGTTTCTTGAACAGCCTAACGATAACATACAAACTAAACGGATAAATTTAATCGATATGAAACATGTTTGACATAGATTCGCGTCAGTTAGATGAAAAAAATAACTAGCGTTGTTATTACTTGACAAACATCCGGTAAATGTCCCCAACCTGGCTGAAAATTCATGTTGAGGTAGCATACCATCCATAGCTGTAGAATGAAGAGCTTTATCGAGTTACAGATAACTTACAAACAGGCAAACCGAAGTCCTGAGTTCAAACAATACATGTGTACAAGTTTTTCTCGCCAATTTAAATATGCAAAAACATTATCACCCTTTCACCAAGTGAATATTTAACTTCATTTTAGTTAAAAACAGTTGAAACTAATATGAGTCAAAACATCTAGCAGTATACCATTTACTGTTTCAGTATTTTAAAAATTTAAATACTCGCTCTGCCATTCAAGGCAACATGAGTCGTTCCTACAAGATACACTTATGTTTCTGACATTGCGGAATAATAAACAACATCCTTAACTCTATATCTGATGTTCACGTAATTGCGTAGTAGTCGTGGTGAAAATGTGTCTACATCTGAATCACTAACAAAATTGTAGTAAGCTTGAAACGCTAAAATAAAAATAAATCGGAGTCTCTCACCTCGTTAGTTATACTTATATTATTCCTAATTTAAAATATGAGTGTTTTTAGTTTCACGTAATGCCCTAATATTTACCATGGAATATGAAACGGAAATTCGCTGAAATACTTTGAGCTGAGAATTCCATATTATACCAAACTTATGATATTGAATATAGCCATTAATAATAATTATTATTTATTTCACCCTAGTGACCAGCTTTTTGAGGGAATTCTTGGAGTTCTGATGGGAAGCCGTGACTAATGGTGCTAATCCGTGTCGGGTAGAAACGGGTATTTACCTCAGTAGGATGGAAGATGGTCGTATAATTTCCTGGATAGGTTGAGGTCAGAGATTAACACCGTCGGATGCCGGCTCAGTGGTTTAGATGTTAGGAGTTCGCGCGCAAGACTGAAGGCCCTGGGTTCGAATCCCACGAGCGGCATGGTGGATGTGTACTACTGGGGAATCCCACAATAAGACGAAACGACCGTCCAGTGTTTCCAGGTTTTCAATGGTTGTCTAACATTGATTGATTCATGATCTCAATCAAAACTCAACAATCTCCATAACCCTATACCGGAAATAAACTTTATTGAATAAAACAAATCATCAACAACAAAAAATTTTCCTTTCACCAAATGCATATGACTGAATAAAAATTATGCTATGGTTGCAAAATACTACTATTTAATAGTTGAATTTATGAGTCAATTAAAGCTAGATCATCATAGAAAACTTGGGAGGACTGAACGACCGTTTCGTCCTAACATAGGAATCCTCAGTAGTGCACATTCATAATCTTGACTTTTTTAATTATCCTTGAATAGAAATGAAGTAATGATCACTTCAAGAATAAAATTTCAGTCAGTAGGTCAATTAGCTTCTATGTAAAAAATAACTTCCATGTCACCAAAAAATGATTTTGTTCTGATCAGGTTAAATAAACTACCACAATTGTAAATGTACATTTCATAGGATGAAACTGTATCCCTATTTACTTTTATTTACACGAATACTATTCAACTATCAGACATTAAGACATACATTCTTCAATACAAATACATAAACACAATTGTAAGTGAACATGAAACTGAGACAACGTTGAAATCCTTGATAGATGCAACTCAAAAAAGATAGAATAATCTTTGAAGCATGAGGATTAGTTCAGTCATCAGATGATTTCAAATCATTTTGTGTCTTAAATAATCAAAGGTGGGAGAAGGGAAAAAAGGCTGATATTATTATTTTCTCTTTCGAATAACTATTTCAACTATTTCGAAGTTATTTCCTCTAGTTTCCAAGTTGTCTTCGTCAGAATTTCTAAACTTACCTAACAATGAAAATGCTGATTTTCTGTTATTTTCCTTAAAATTACCCAACACAAAACCACTGGTCTTAGAGTCATCTTGGAATGAGCACTAAAATTAATCACTTTCTATTATGTTTATCTTTACCTTCATTCAACAATACGTCTAAAGTGAATGCATATAAAGTAGTTTTCTCGAATAATCTTTCGTCATATAAACATGTTATTGACTAAATCAGCTGACCGATGATCGACATTCATTATTCTATTATATACAGTGATACTGAAATCTCTTTAACTACTTACCTTATTGTTTCACTAAGCGAAAACTGAATATTTTTAGTACTATATGTGGACTTATATTTTTATACCAATTTCTAAATGCTGGACATCTATACTTAAAGATGAGAGTAACAACCAAATGTTCATCCACGATGCATCGAAATATTAGTGCAGGAATTCTGTGGACCACGTTGTCACCCCTAGATGATTGACAACGAAGTACGATTTTCATTTATTATCTTCAGTAACATACTGTTTCGTATTTCTCTGGAATTATCTTCCATATATGCTTCACTACAAAACCCCAGATTTTGTAAAGCTTAGTGTTGTTAAACTATAACATTTGAAAAGATACACTAAGTAGGACGTGCAAAATGTAATCCATAACCAGGAAGGTAAATCGTTGATTTGACTTACTATCTTGATGGCAATGTCGACGACCTAAATTCAGAAATATGTTCGTTGTTGATTTTAGTCAATCATACTATGGATTATGAGAGTAAGTCGTCGAAACACAGGATGAATTCATCGAAAACGGACACTTACATTCTTCGTCTATGAAAAGAAAAGTTAAATAAAATGATAACTTGTAGCCAACTTCATAACTTTGACATTCTGTTTATTCTAAGCAGAGATGGATAGTGGCTAGCAGTGGAACCCAGAACTTGCGTTTCGTCCTATTTGGAACTCGTCAGCCGGACGTACCTGCATAGCAGAGTTCATTCTGGGACAATACGCACAGTATGCACATATGCCAATAAGAAACTGATTAATTGCAGTCCTAACAATAATGGGAAGATTCAAGTAAACAATACCAAGTGAATTTAAACTTCACCTCATAGCACAAGCAAGTGGCTATCAGGAATCAGTAGTTAAGTGGATAACATGATGGCGTGTGAAGCGAACGGTACTGGGTTGGAATCCTAAAGTGAATATCAACTCTGAGATGCAGGTACAACTAGATGACGATTCCCAAATAGGAAGAAACGCACATTCTGTATTCCACTGCTAGCCACCACCCATTTAAACTCATAATGCTTGTGAATTGAGGCAATTGCGATGCTATCCGTACACCATAAACATATGCCAATAAGAAATTGGTCAATCGCAATCCTATACATCAATGGGAAGATCCAAGTAAACAATACCAAGTGAATTCTATTTATTTTTTAAACATTACTCCTCTTATTCACTGTTAAAATCACAGTATATAAGTTCATTTGATTCCTTAAATCGAATATACCTAAGATCATTGGGTTTCATACTGATTTTGATGCATTTCGACTGGCAACTCACAATATGACACTATTCATACAAGATCTTATATGTGCTTTAAATTTTGCACTATTGATTTAGTTAACACAATATGTCAACATATCTCACTAGGATATTCGTAGAACCCATCTCAAAGGTAGTTTCACTACGATAATCATTTTACTAATATTTTGTATTATCTGAAAACAAATTAATTTCAATTAAGTAACCTCTGAATTACAATAAACCATTGACTGATAGTTTTATTTTGAATTTTTTAATTGTCTGCACACATTACTACAACAGGGATTGAATTCAGTAACTCTTCATAGACATCATGTGCATACGTTATCATATAGAGGTACCCTCATCTCAAATGGAACAGAAAAGGTATACTTATATTATCAAGAATGAAAAGACAAATTGATCTCTTGAGTGATTTCATACAGATTAAATGTTCCTACATAGCCATACAGGTAATAAGAGATTTAAATGTTAGTGGGCCTTTGTGAATAAATCTATTCAAGGTCTCCAGTTATACGTTCATTCTTGACCCATCCAATAGTTTATATATACACTTATTAGTTGTGTACTACATTTGAACAAAGGTATAAAATGTCCTGTACATTATTAGTCCTTCGGCTGTTTATAGAGTTTTCAGTAGGTATCAAAGAGAGTGTATAGCAATTAAGACAGGATACCATAACAACCACAAAGAGGTTCACTCTAAGTACTGAGTAACTTAAAATAAGTATCTAAAGGATAAAACTAACGGAATTACTCCTATGTGATTTTCCTTAAGTTTAGTGTTTAATGTTCTTATGACATTTTTATGAAGATAATATTCCACTCCTAATTTAAAATCTCAACTCAACTCCGTCTTTTTGCAGTTACTCTGACAGAAGACAATTTCTAACTAACAGTTATATCTGTATAAGTGCTAAACCAATTCACACTTTACCTTGAAAATATGAAGAGATGGGATCTACATGATGAATAGCTGAAGAGTCGGAAAAAATGTGGCACCAACAACAGTCAAAGAAAGTGAACATTGAGAATTCGTAAGAAAGACTTATCTGTAATGAAATATCCGAACTTATTATCTAAAGTAAGATAGTGGAATAATGCATCTTCTCTACTGAGACAAATTTTGAGCCGTGTTACTTGTCATAACAATGACTCCGTGAATGTAGTCTACATCAACCAATACCGATCAGACCAATAGTC